AATAAAATAAGGTCCTTAAAAGGCAGAGCAAAATGAAGCTGGTGAAATCTCCTCAGGCAGTGCTAGAACCTTTGTTCACAATAGGACAATCCCCTCTTGTTCCCTTCATGCTAGTGAATTCTAGGGGTTAAAAGCATTTGGAAACATAGCTGCAAGCGATAAAGTAAAACAGAATAGGAACACTGGAAAGACTGTAAGACCATTTGAAAATATAATTTGTCATCCTCACTTGTCATTTATTTTTCATCAGATCTGTTGACAAGTAATAGCTTTCTCATTTAAATATGATCTTACATGTTGAATAGAGAATGAAATTAAGGAATAAACCACAATGGAAACATTAAAGAAAAGGCTTTTACATTTGGTTGAAAATGTACATGTAAAAGTATTTTCAAAGGAAATTTATTTATTGTTCCTGAAGGAAGAATTGTTCGGGAAAGAAAAAAAAAAAAAAGAAAAAGAAGAAAAAAAAAAAAAAAGTTGCTACTATGTAATGTAATTTTCAAGTAATAAACTAAATATCTTCACTTCTGGGGGGTTGGACTCGATGATCTCTGGAGGTCCCTTCCAACCCCTACAATTCTGTGTGATTTTTTTCCTGATATCTGCAATATTCCCTAGGGATCTGTCTGCGGTTCAACACTATTACACATTATAATGAATGAAGTATTAAGGTTACAAGAAATTGCACTACCTCAAATCTTAAGGCTCAAAACCATAAGGAAAATGTAACAGATTATCCATATAACTCTTTGCAAGGTTTGCTCTTTGCTAAGTAAATTAGGACTGGGTAGCCTGAATTCAAATGACCTTTAAGCCCCTAAGAAGTATCTTCCTTAAATTGCATGCATTCCTCAGTTTGGGAAACTGGCACAGGGAAAGAGAAGTATTTACACAGCAGAGAAGATTCAGTACCCTGGAATGAAGGGCTTCAGTGGAAATAGTCAAGATTGGGAAAGAATAGGTGATCCATTCATACCTATTTCCTCTAGGACAACAGTATCATGGAATTAGAATTGAGACATGTTTTATTTTCCAAATTATGGGAGGGGCTGTTTGAGTCGAACTGCAAAATAGGAAGAAGTTTCTTATTCTCTATACCAATATTTATTGCAGTCCTTTGGTCTGCAATAAATAAGCCAATCAGCTTTCTGTTTACATTACATACATTCAGCAAATTTCAGTTGTTTTGGCTCACAAGAGGGTTTTGTTGTGTTTTTGCTTGTTTGTTTGCTTGTTTGTTTTATAAATTGAGAGTGGCCTGACCAGAGTCTACAGTGTTTTGCAAAAAAAAAACGTTTTATTTTTTTTTTAATTAAAAATATATTCATAACCATTTCTCATGGAAATGAAGAAATAAAATTACAGAAATTTGTTTGCTCATGTTAGAAAAGTTCACATGTCCATTTGCTGTACTAATCTGGTTACATTGGTGAGAATTAAGTTTAACAATAACCAAAAAAATGAAAATTCAGAAAACTAAGTAAGAGGAAGGGACAAACTGATGAAAAAATCCAATGACATAAAGAAATAGAGTCTTTAAAGCAAAATATAGATGATCAGTTTTAATATACATTACAGCTGAATTAAGTTAAATAGTACAGAATAAATAAAATTCTATTTGCTGTATTCCACAACTCATCAACAACAATTAAATGCTATTCAGATTTACTGTGGAGGAAAAAAAAAAAAAAAAAAAAAAAGAAAGAAAATTATTTTAATTCATTCTTGCAAAGAGTTCAAAATAGTTTGGAATAGAGATGGACATGTACAGAGAGTAATTTCAATAAATTTCTTACTTCACAGTTTTTTGAAGATTTAACAATCCAGGGAACAGTTTTTAATTCTAAATCTTCCACTGTTTAATTGTTTTCTATAAGGATGTAGAACATTTCTGTAGGAAGGAGGAAGGGCACTTTTAAAATGAATTCTCTATTAAAACAGCAGGTCTCAAGGAAACAACAGGCAAAAATATCGGCATACACAAAACTCATTGATTTCAGAAGAAAACACCATAGCTTAAAACTTCATTCACATGTATGAATTTGATAGAATGAAAGAAAAATTGTAATAAATATTTCTATTATGTACATAAAAATAGTCCCAAATGTGTGCAAAAAGAAATAATGATGGAAAAAAAGTCACAAGATATTATTGTAGCATATGGAAAAAAAGGGGAAATCTTTCAGCTGAAGCAGTAAAATTCTGAAATTGCTTACCAGATGAGAATAAACAACAACACTCCAGTGGCATAAGTTCCATAGTAAAGTAATAAATAATTTCAGGTTATATAAAAAGTTTGAGAAATGTGTTCTTTCTAAAAACTAATTTCATTGTGCATAGAAAACATGCAAGCAAAATAACCTAAGGCACATGTTTTTGTTAAGGCCTTGACTATGATTAAAAAATAAAAATCCAAATGAAGAAAGGTTATTTTTTGTAGTTAAACATTGGTCAGCTCTTATCAAGCTTTCACCAGACTCTTCCAAGTAAAAGTAGGCATGTGTGAGTTTTGCTTAAGCAATGTTCACTGTAAATTAATTGGAAATAGTATTAATCCCCATAGCATATCAAGCATTTTTAATTTTTCTGCAATAAATCTTCATTCAAAACTATATCCTACAAAATTTTTAACTGGTCTATCACTCCTGATATTGGATTTAAAGAAAAACTCATCTGTATTCATTTGTAAATACTAACTTATTTGCTGGATTATGATTTAATATTTTATCATGTTTTTATTTCACCTTTACAATTCTAAAACAAAGGTCACAATTTATTCCCTTGCAATTTTAATTTTCTTCTTTTTAATGCCTAGAGACGAGCTTAAATTTTCTGACCACTACCAAAATTGTTCACAGGCTAACAGGTCCTTACTGTGTTTTGCAAGGGCATCAAAAGCAAAACTAGAATTTAATTCTGATCTTCCACTTGGTAAATATAAATTCTTTCTCAACTGCAAGAAATAACTTGCAGAGAAACTGCAACTTTCACTCATTTTCACACGAACCCTCTTCTCGATTATGGCTTATTTGCAGCTTATTTATCTGTTTACAACATTGAAATTGAACGATGTAATGGTAGTAGAGGTTGTAAGGGCACTTTCTTTTCTGCCATGTCTGCCATTGTGCTTTTTCCTGATGTAGAAAGCAAAAGAAAACGAGGAATATTTGCTGAGTTTTCTTTGCTTGAGTTGCTATTGGAACATATAGATCATTAATGAGAGCAACAATACCTGGAGGAGGAAAACAAATTTTATGACAGATGTAATATCAGAAGAGGAACAATTGCAACTATTGACCAACTATTTATAAAACATTGATTAAAAAATATCTACAAAATAAATTGTGACTATATCCATGGGATTGAGATAGTTTTTCAGATATCATTTGAAAAGTCATACCAATAACTACTAATACAATGTTAAACTGCAAGAGGTTTCTTGTATAAAAGAAAAAACATAGTTGATTGTTAAAAATTGGGAATCCAATCAAAACAATTGTAATTGTAATAATTGTGAATGTACAATTACATTCTGATAATGTAGCACAGAATTCCAAAAACTGTTTTCACTACCAAAAAAGCTAACAGAATATTGATGGAAGCTGCATCCCCTACTGCCATACCACCAACATCTGCCTTTGATGTTGCTGACCAGCATAACAGAATAGAATATAATACTTGCAGCACAGCCCTCACACTTTGTTTTCCATTATACTAAGAGAGGTTGTTTATCAATACTGCCTGGCACCTGCATAATGTTTCGAGCAGTCAAACAATATGAACAGTAATTAAATGACACTGTACAACTATTTATTAATGAACTCATTCGAATAACATTAGTAGATTTGTATGAGCTGTCATAATGTCAAATCTTGAATTCAAGGGTTGTTTTGTTCTGTTTTGTTTTTGTTTTGTTTTGTTTTTGTCAGTGGAAAGACTAAGTAGATAAGCAAAAGACTTGAATGTTTACTAAATATTTTAATAGTCTGTTATGTAAAATTTATAGCAGCTATGTTCCTTTTCCAGATATTAGTGAATAAATATATTGACGTTAAAAACATGCTGCAAAATAGATCTCCCTTTGGCACAGCAAAACTGTCAGTGTGGAAGTTGTTCTAATATAGAAATCAGTTGATTTGAATGATCAAAAGCAAACAGTGCTTTTCTAGTAAAGCAGCTATCTTCAGAAAAGTCTGCAACCCAGTCAAACTTCAAAGTAAAAGGTAAAAAAACCCACCATAAAGAGTAACTAAACAGACAAATAGAGGAAATACTTTGCTCAGTAAAAGCTCTTTTTTAGCTTTGGTATTTGATTCTATGATTTTATGACTTTCAGGTAGTCATCCACAGGGGGGAAAAAAATAGAGGAAGAGGGATGATATTTTTTTTTTGTCTTTACTACTGTCTTTAAAGACAGCAGATAGTAAAAAGGTTGCCCTTCAAAAAATCAAGAGTTCATTCATGTGAAAGAAAGAGAAAACAAATCTTTAAATGACAGGTTCTTTAAAGCTCACTTAGCTCCAGTTCAACTAGGCATACTGTGGAAAGCTATCTTCACAATTAACTCATGTTTCCTTAACAATAAAAAACTGGAAAGAAAAAGAAAAAGAAAACCCTAATAACCAACAAACTTCAAAACATCTTTAAGACAGGAATTCTTCCACAGAAAAATTAACAGATTTCATCTGTCCTGAGCAAATCTGTGCGTCTTAGAAAAAAAAACACTCCAGAATCTACTTTTCTGCTCAAATACAGCTACAGTCTGAACACTGCTGCATTCCAGGAGCTTCACCCTGAATTTCTTTAATATCTTACATTCAAAGAATTTTGTTATTTTTTTTACTGATCTTGCACTGTTCTTTTAATCTTCAATGGCACGCATTACAAAAAGGGACACGTGTTAAACAAATATTAACCTGACTTTTTAGTAAGCATGCCAAATGTATCCTTCACAGCTGCACAGAAACACAGAGAAATAACTGAGCAATGCTTGCTATTTCCATAACTGCCAGGAAATATAAATTAAAGATAAACATTAATTTTTATGTTGCATGATAAAATGTATGCTTCATCTCATGAAATGTGAGACTAAAATGTGCAACAAAAATAGAGCTCAGTTCAAGAGGTTGCTTAGCCCTGTAAAAGTGTAACAGCAATATTATACTATACAGCACCATTGTTTCATCCCCTCCAAAATAAAATACAGTGCTTCACTGCCATGGGCGTAATTATGCCTGACATAAAACCATGATAAATGACACAAAAGTTGCTTCAGCCATACCTGACATCATTTAGCAGATGGACTTGTCTGAATTCCTTAAGTTCCTGCAAGCTTGATTTTTTGACTGATAGCACATTTCACATCAGAATGAAAATCAAAATTGATGGACAAGTGCTCAACAGTCCTCCATCCTCCACTGGTCTGCAAGTGATTGAGTCAAAAGGTGATGAGTAATATGGCAATTCCTCCAAATATAACTTACTGCTTCCCTTCTTCAGAATGTATTACTGTCTGGGAGATATTCAGCTTTTGTGAGCATAATATTACATCACATTTATGTTTCTCAGGAATCCACAGTAGAACGAATGAAAACACAAAAGGTGTTAAAATATTTGCAAACTGTGAAAGTATGTGCAAACCAAATAAAAAAAAAAGCATGCCTAAAATGTAAATCATCTCTTGTTATGAAGATCTGACCTTGTTCCACTGCTGGAGCAATTCAACAGTAACTTGACTAAATGCATTGAATTATGTAAAGCCGGTGTGATATTAGCTTCAGGCACCAGACTACATTGAGTGCTGATAACTATTTTAGTGCTTTCCAGGCTCCAAGGCTAGAAAGAAAACAAAGATAAAGAAAGGGCTTATGTGCAACAAATATATTTAAAGCATGGTGCTGGGTTGCCAAATGTTCTGCATTGCAAAGCAGCATCATGCAGGTAATCAAGGGACATTCAGAAGCATAGCTGCGTTTGTAGCAGCGTGCAGGCAAGTACAGGCATAATTTATAGGACAGCTGGAACATAATTTATAGGACAGGGTTTAACAATAACTAGAAGTGCCCTGCTAGGATGGCTGGTCACTCTGGCCATAAACATTCATCAAAATAGTCAGGATAGAGTGTTTTCATGTTCATGCAAGTCACATATGCCCATTACCTTGAGTCTGCTCCCAGTGTGCTGGCTGCTATTGAGCTGCATGGATTAATGGTTCCAAAGCCTTTTTTCTGTGAGCTTTAAGAATCCCTACGCTTCTTAAAGCAACAGTTCTAGAAAATTTTTGCTAGCACATAGTGGTAGAAAATAAAATATGACCTGCTGCTATAAAATGGAATTCCTTGCAATCTGATAAATAATTCAAATTAAATACATTTAATTCTATACTATCTTCATTTTAAAAATATTAGATTTGTTATTCACATCGCCTCAATAATTATAAAACACCAAATTAGACAGTGAACAATTCTTACAGTGATTTCTTTTCATGCTTTCTGAAGTTGCTTGCAATGACACATTCATAGAGACTCATTAGGATTCTTGATCCAGGGTTTTCCAAACGAAGCTTTTTTAAGCAAAAGGTAAAATGTTAAATAAAACATAGATTTATTTGCTGAGTGATGACAAAATCTGTGGCATTTTGCTTACCCAGCTTTAGTAAACAAATTGAAAGTGAATTTTGGTGATGTCGCAATGTTTGTGGGATTTTTTTTTTAAATAATAATATATTTCCAGAAAAACTTACCATAAGTAAGAATATTTATTGTCTTTTGAATGCAAAATCTAACTCTTTAATGATTTTCACAAGAAGTCTGTGACAAGTATTATTCAGAAACTAATACTAATGTTTCTGCACCTTTCTCAAAACATAGTCTTGAATAATGTGAAGACAGTTACACCATTTTTTAAAAATCATCTTGATTTAACATAGAGAGATGAGGAATTCTATCTTATCCAATGGAATTAATACTGTGAACTAAATAAAGTAGATTTAGATTGAATGTTTAGAAGAAACGTTTACTGGAGGGCAGTGAGGCACTGGCACAGCTGCCCAGAGAAGCTATGGTGCCCCATCCCTGAAGGCGTTCCAGGCCAGGTTGGATGGGGCCATGGGCAGCCTGAGTTGGTGGGGAGCAGCCCTGCCCACTGCGGCGGTTGGAACAATGTGGTCTCTAGGGTCCATTCCAAATGAAACTATAATTCTAATTCAAGCTGCATTGAAAGACTGCTAGAAGTAGACATGATGATATTAACTGTGACAGAAAGGTTTAGCTAGAATAACTGCATTGATTCCCAAATCTACGAGTATGTGAATATAATTTCATGTTATTTACACTGCATTTTTGTTTTTATTTTTAATTCTGGACTAGTTTCCAAAAGTGCAGATCTTTCTCTTTTGTTTTGTTTGAAGTGACATTGATTTGTTTGAATTGATATTTGGACTATTGCTTCTACATATTTTGGAAAATATTTCGTTCTCCAATATGATTTTTTTTCTGTAGTCATTCGTGTTATTTTGCCATTTTGGGAAGGCACAGGCAAATCTAATCAAGCAAGCTATTCTAGAAAGGAAAATGGCAACCTGAGGTTTTTTTTTCCCTTCTTCCCTTCTTTACAAGTTCTCAGCCTTCTTTCCTCCCTGTCCATGACACAGGTGCTACCAGACCTACAGACTGCCTTAGAACTGGAGAGATCAAACATTCAGTACCTAATCCCATTGCACTCAATGTTCCAAAGTCTCATGGGACTTAAGTATCTACGTTTCTGGCAGCTCAGTGTGCTGTGGTATTTGTGGTCTGAGAACTGCATCACCGCCTGTTTGTATCAAAGAGGAGTGATACTCAGCCTACCTTTATGTGAGAAAAGACTTCTGCATTACTTTCGTAATGCATATTTACATATGTAAATATGTAATGCGGTGCATGTATATAACAGATATAAGTCAGGTCTTAAGTGTTTTGCCTTTTTCTGCTAGGACTGAAGCCAAATTATTATCACTTTTCCATTTTCCTTCTGTCTTCCCTGGAAAAAAAAATTCATGTCATATGCAATATGCAAAGGTCTCCATGTACAACAGGAAAAATATCTGAATATATTCTGCAGAATTTAGAGAGAAGCTAATTTCTGACTTTTCAAATTTGATCTTTCACATTTAGCTCTGTGTACTAACAGGTGCAAAATAATAGGGTCCTTCTATTGAAATCAGTAAAAAGAAAGGCTGATTTTTTCATATGTGTGTGTTTAAAAAGTTCAGTGTTTCCTAAGATTTATTGGCAAAGAATGCACTATAATTTTTGTGTTTTCTAGTGCAGAAACAGAATGTTGGCAAGAACAAAGATGTGTTATTTTCTCAATAATCCAGTATAAAAGTGGTAAAATGGCTTTCTGGCATCATGCACCCAGCTGTCTTTTCCTCCAAGCAGCATTATATGCTAATCATAATATGGCTTCTTTAACATACTAATTCCTAGTCCAAGTTTGAACAGTAAAATTCAGGTTTAACAGTACATTAAACCCATCCAATGTTGCTAGATAGCCTTCTCTTTTGAAACATCACCATGAGGTGAATGTAAAATTAAGCCTACTCAAACAAAAGTACGTTCTATTGATTTTGCATTACCAGGAATAGTAAATGTAGTATATATTTTTTTTTATCAGACATCTTCTTATTGTTTGATTTTGGGGGGAAATTACAATACACAGAGAAGCAAAATATCACTATCTTATAGTAGCCTTGCCTGTTAGTGCTGTATGTTTAATAATATGGATGCTCAGCGTTAGAAAGTAAGTACCAAGATAAAAGTGCTTGTATACTTAGGGCCTAGCAGGTTGATTAGCACTTGGCCATGTCTCTAAATACATTTCAAAGGAAATTGCTTCCACTTCCTCATGCAGCATGCACCCTTCTTATCTGAAAAAAAAAAAAAGAAAAGAAAAAAAAAGAAAAAGAAAAATCTCTGTTGAAAACAGTATGAAGATGTGAGAATTTTGAAAGCCTTATGGTCTGGAAAATGTGTTTGGGAATTCGAACCAAGCAAACCTTCTCCTTATGAAAATATGCATCCCAGCAGCTGGGCTCCTCATTAAAGCCCCCTTTTCTTCCCTACTCTGGAATGAGGTGCTGCAGAGCTCCCCTTTCCCGCCCTCCCTCCCAGACCTGGTTTCCCTTGCACCCCACGTTCCCACCGGCCCTCCCCTCACACTCCCAAGGACGTCTGCAATGGTTAGGATTCGTCAGGTCACACCTCGCCCTGTCAGGACGCGGCGCCTCCTTTGCCCTGCTGCAACCCATTGCTTCATTTCATTTGCGCAGAGCCTGGCAACAAGCTGGCCTTGTTAGATGGAAACTTCAGCCAGCCAAAAGGAGCCAGCAATTTCCTTATTGCTTACCTGTCACATCCCCTTGGCTTTCTTAAACCAGCCACTGCCTTCATTAATCTGAAGCCAGGCCTCAGTACAGACACAGGCACACACAAGCCTGTGCATGCAGGCAAACGGGCAGGGTACCCTACATGGCTGAGCCAGAAAGTGCAGGTGGCTGGGGCCAGGCTGCACCCCTGCCTCAGCCTCTGTTATCCCTGCTTGCTCCTCCTCATTCAGCCCTGCTCAGTGTTCAGCCTCTCCCATCTCTCTACGTTACTTCCCACATTTCCACAATGTGCAGGTCTGACTCAGTCTGGTTCCTTCTTCCTCCTGCCCTTATCCCATCTGACAGTACATTTTCTTTACCACGCTCCTTCCCTGGCCCAAATCCCTGTGACACCCAGCCTTCTCTCCTTCCTGCTTTAGCCAAAGGAAGTTCTGCCACCACTTTTCCCATCACTTCCCCAGCACTTACTGCCACCCTCTACCCTCTAGTCTGAGTATGGAGTGGGGGCCCTGTATGGAAGAGCTGAGGTCTTGCTTGTGGTAGGTCCTGTCCTACAACCCAGCTACACACCCATCTTCATATGCTTCTCATCTCTGGGTGTGGAGAGAGGAGACCCCAAGCCTCAGAAATGTGGGATTGTTTGCTAGGTTTTCTCCTGGCACTAGAGGCTAAACTCTACATTACCTGTGCTGTTCACACACCTGAAACCTGGCTTTTACTTCATCCTTGGTCAGTTAGATTTGGTTGCTGCTGTTTTGTTAAGCAGTGTATTACCTAACCCAACAAAAAATCTAAAGGTAGTTTTGAAGTGAGGTCAGAGTCAGCTCAGCCCTGAATGTTTTTAAGATCACTAGATATTCAAGTTCATGTTTTTGCATAGGAATCTTCCAAAGAAGCTCTGTCAAAAATTATTAAAAAGCTGTTATAATAAATTCAACATAAACATGTCTATGCACAAAATAAATTATAAGAAAATTCAGATGTAACAATCTTTGTGCACAAGCATAAAATCTAGAGATTATTCAAGATTTAGAACATAGTACATTGCTTGTACACTGGGATCATTCTCTTCTACCTACTTTATGTGTTTCTAATTCCTAGCACAAGGAAAATTACATTTAATTTTGTTTAATACAGTCTAACAAAACCTGATGTTTCCCTCTTTTTTTCTTTTTTCTTTTTTTTTTTAAGCTAAGGAAGAAGGAAAAAAAAAAACACACCACTTTCTTCCATGAGTAGTTCATGTGGTATTTTGCTGACAGAAATAACTACATCAATAAATTTTGGAAAAAGCTGTTGATAGCATTGCAATAGTTAGATTTTGCAATCTGAGCTGTTCTCCACTGGGTGCTGAAGTATTTCCCAACAAAAAGCAAAAGCCTGAATTCAGTACAACATTGGATTGAGTATATTTCTCTGATGTTTTCTGCGGGGAATATTTGTCTTTTCTTGGAAATGAAAGGCAAATTCATTCACAAGGGCTCTCCTCACCCACTCTGTAGCCTAGAAGTGTCCACACTTCCTCTCCCACCCCCATTTTTCTTTTCCTTTCTCCATCCCCTTTAAGTTGTAATTCAATCTCTTCCAACTCATGATCACTTTTCTCTTTTTGGCACTCCCTCCACCCTCTCTCTCTCTCATTAGTTTAACTTGAGTTAATTAGGAATAGTAGGCAGCCCTCAATCTGTTATGTGTTAAAATAGAACAATCCGAAACAGAGAGACACAGACACAACTATGTGATTTCATTGTCTAAAGGAGACAGAAAACCAGTGGGGATTCCCTTATCAAGGCAAACATCTCCCCAGTGGTTAATCTAACTGTCTTTAAAATGTTCCACAAATGCAGATCTAGGATAACAATCTTTCTGTCATGTTTCCTTTCTCTTTTCTTTTTTTTTCTTTTTTCATTTCATCATTGGCAAGAATGAGTGAATTGGATTGACATGGAGGTGATAGAGGAAGAGAAACAGCCTACACGTCAAAATGACAATGTATATTACATGGTTAACAGAATGAGTGGTACGTGCTATGGTTGTGGGTATTTTCATCTGCTGCATTGTACAATAAGCTCTTTTTTTTTCCAAGTATATCATCAAGATCACTCTCAATTCAATACCGATTAAGTGTTTGCTTGAAGGATCTCTTTCTGTGAGTAATACCACTTCATAAACATGGATCTGAAGTAA